GGAGATTCAGTGACACACACGGCGCCATGATGTCACTGGCAACCTATGCCAAGTATGTCGCCAGTGAAGGGTTGACCGATGATTCACCGTTGGCCGTGTACGATTCCGAGTTTGGAGAAGACAATTCACCCATGCACGAGCTATTGGCCGATTATACGGTTCCTCCGTGCTTTAGTGATGACTTGTTTGGCTTGGCAGTGGAGGAGGATGATGATGATGAGGACGACGACGATTATAATCATGCAAACTCTCGTCCACCATGGAGATGGATCCTGGCCGGTCCGCCACGCAGTGGGACAGGGTTGCATATTGATCCTCTTTGGACCAATGCCTGGGTGACGCTGTTGCAGGGACTGAAGCGTTGGATATTGATTCCTCCCCACGTGGAGCTCCCCAAAGGTGCTGGATTGCGAGAACCGCAAGTTCCCTCAGTGATTTGGTTTCGTGACTATTATGACAAGGTCCAGCAGCTGGAAGGGGTGGTAGAGATTCTGCAAAATCCCGGAGAAACTGTGTTTGTCCCCAATGGTTGGCCACATCTCGTGCTGAATTTGGAACAAACGGTGGCCGTCACACACAACTACGCGTCTGAATTTGGACCCTTTGAACGCATGTGGGATGAGACGGTACAAAATGAACCAGAGTTTGCCCATCGTTGGTACAAAGGCCTTTGTCGGCATCGGCCAGATCTTGCCAGTCGAATCCAAAGGAACAACAATAGCAGTGAGGCCTGACTGACTGATTCTTTCTCTTGGCTGGATGCGGATGTGATAGATTAGGAAACTGTTGTCAAGCCTGTGGAGTAATCAATCCAGGCACCCGTGTACCATGCCTGGATGCTGCTCCGTTTGTGTGCTACCGGTACCGTCAGTCCGGGAATGGGGTGCCGTGCCGCAATCGATCTTGAGTTTCAACAACCTACTCATATGCTGCTACAATGGAAGGGTGGAAAGGTGATCAGCTCTTGTCTGGGTATGTTTGCTACTTTAACGGTAGGCACGTCGAAGCTCCTCTCGCAAAACTAAATGGTACATCAACCCCCTTTTCACAGCGGTACCAAAAGACAATAAAAGTATTCTTCAACAAAAGAGCATGCTACTTCTTTAATTCTGTGTGCCTTCGCTTTGCTTTCGTTGGACAGCACAAAGCAATTAGCCTAGTGTCCCTTTCCCTTGGGCACAACCTGAGGAAACTTGGTGCTTTCGGGTGCCTTGTGGACCATACGGTAGAGTAGGCGTACTCAATTCCAGCACCATACTACCGGTACTCCGCCGATTTAGTTGAGAATTCTCAAGTTCTGTACAGGTTGACTTCCATTTGCAAGCCAAAGCAAAACCAGCCTGTATACCTTCGATGTAAGATATTTAAACCTTGACTTCAAGAACTATATGGGATGATGAGTCCCACCAGGTTAGCCCAACCCCTAAGGATCAGTTTGAAAGAATTAGGTAAATATGAAAAGACTTAAAGAGAACGTACTATCCTCAACCCTACCGTAACTACAAGACTTCATCCAGACGTCTCCATTGTTCAATCATTTGGATTTGATTATGGAGATGATGATGTTACCTTCTCTCTACTCTGTGCAGCGGCTACTCCTTTTAAATTGAAGAAGTCATGACAGGAGCGTCCCTCAATCGTGGGTGAGTTTTAAATCCGACCCAAATCCGACCCTAAATCTTTGAAACCCGACCCTAATTCCATGTAGCAATAGGGTCGGTTTTGAAACCCGCCCCTAAAATCGAAACCCGTCCCTAAATTAGGGACGTTTTCTTCAGAATCCGTCCCTAATTTTAGGGTCGGTTTCGAAACCCGACCCTAAAAGGTTTTTAGGGTCGGATTTCATGTATTTACCACTCAGTCCCGTTCCTATTTAGGGACAGTTTTCAAAAAGCGCCTGACCCTAAATCGAAACCCGTCCCTAAATTAGGGACGTTTTTTCAGAATCCGTCCCTAATTTTAGGGTCGGTTTCGAAACCCGACCCTAAAGGGGAATCCGTCCCTAAATCCGACCCAAAATTAGGGTCAGTTTTCGATATAAGTCATGCACGATTGAGGAACGCTCCAGGAATTCTCCCCACCATGACAGGCTCCTCTTTTTTGGTTAAGCTGGAAACTGGGGCAGTTAGTCGAGCCTATGATCGCTGTTGTGAATGAGTTCCTCTTTCGTTCGACCGATCTATCGTTCGACCGATCAATCGGTGACTTCTTTGGTCAGGATCGGAGGATCAACGACAGCTTCCACGGGGCCTCAAGAAAAGGAGCGACCATGATGACTATACCGTACCGTACCACCAGTAGGGACTACTATCAATAACAACAATGGCGCCGGTTGACTCTTTTTAGGCACTACGTTCCACGACCGCCTTTGACGACGGTGGATCTTTCGATCGATCTTTTGGTCGATGTTTGACGTCGGATGGCTGGCTCCAGCAGCTTCGTTGTCTCCGTTCTTCCTTGATCGCATAGGTGTATACATGACTGCAATTGTTGGGTTTGGTTCGACCGGAATCGGGATCTAAGATCAGCTGGAGACTGGTGGCACCAATAGAAAATGCAAAATGGAGTTCCCCACTTTGCTAGTCGTTCGTTACTTCCACGGCCGGCAAATGGGCAAACCACTAACGAGCCACTGGTTGACGGGCCACATCCAAATTATGTATCCCCTATCTCAGAGTATTCCTAGGGCAACTCTATTGGTTAAACTGATAGGGTATCTTTGACAGCCAAAGTGGTGTGTTTATTGATGTGGATGTGCCAAAGCAGGAACAAGCAGATAATTTCAAAAGTGTTGAGGCCTGCTGATTCCACAGTGTTCCCGGCAAATTCTCACCATAATCAAAATTCTCAACTAAATCGGCATAGGCACCAGCCTGGGATTGAGCAAGTTCATCAATGCTTTGAACTGTTCTTTGCCTTAAGCCTGGGCCGCCGGCTGCTTCCGTAAGATTAATTGACACC